ATGCAAATGTTTATAAACTATGATGTGATTGGTTGGTTGTTTAACACCACACTCAGCAATATTCCAGCTATATGATGGCTGTCTGTAAATAATCAAGTTTGGACCAGACAATCCAGTGATCAACAGCATGAGCTTCGATCTATACAATTGGGATACGATGTCATGTGTCAACAATAGGAAGAATATAAAAAACAGGGAAGGAATATACATCAAATTATTTGTTCCAGCAACACCCCGGCAACACAGGTGAGGTACACCGTCACCATCACAGACGCTGATTCCTACTGGACACGGTTTGATGGGGTAGATCCTGGAACACTTGGTCGGTACTTCACCCCAACAGGTTATACTGTGATCCAGGAAGAAGTAGTTAACACACAAGTTACTACCGCACCCGGGGGCACCACGCCATTCACAGGAGTATCCGTTACACCAACAACACCGACTGGCACCACCAACTTTGTCAGCATCATCTACTTGAGAGGCAACATCAGCGACAGCAATCAGGCAGCCGTGGAAGAACTGCTACAGAACGCGCTTAATAAAACCAGAAGCGGTAAGATATCTCATCTTGGAACATTTTTTGGTTCTTTAGCGCCACGCTTAGCAATATTCCAGTTACAGGACAGCATCTGTAAATAAAATATTGTGGAACATATTTAGAGTGATGACCATCGATGTACACAATTTGCTACAAGATACATAACAAAATCTCGTTTATCAAAGAATAACCAACAGGTTCATATTTAAATGGTAGAATGCCGAAAAATATTAATCCAAGTATTAAGTGACATCTTGGTAAGGAATATCTTTTTCAACAGGTTAATTGTTTTGTGTGTACCAACAGTAAACCTATTAATATGTATTTGTTGTGTGAAATAATGTCATGAATCAGTGCTCCTTATTTGTTCTTTTATAACAGGGTCGTGTTGCATACAGCTTTACATAATTGAGAAAACAACATTCCTGGATTCATCAGGGTGAGTATCCCACTGCAGCATCGAGCTGCCACTTCATCAACGCCTTGTGTGTAGACACTTTGCAGCAGTGAGTGAGTGAGTTTATTTTCATGCCACACTCAGCAGTATTCCAGCTATATGGCGGCGGTCTGTAAATAATCGAGTCTGGACCAGACAATCCAGTGATCAACATCATGAGCATTGATCTACACAATTGGGATACTATGACATGTGTCAACCAAGCCAGCAAGCCTGACTACCCAATCCCGTTAGTCGCCTCTTACGACAAGCATGAGTTACTGAAGATCAATTCTAACCTGCATCTTCACGGGTACTTTATACACACGGCAGTGTGATAAATATCAGTTAGTTTTGATAGTACTTGGTAGATGTTGTACTGCTAGCGCTGTCATGTAGAGAAAGGGAATTTCCTGTGACGTAATCAGGCAACTTATTACTATTGTTCTTAGGTTTTCAGTGTGATTCGATGCCTTCTTTTGGTGACAAATCACTGAATTGTCTGGTCCAAACAAATATACTCATGATATAGTCACAATTGTACAATCGACTCTGCTTTTAGCAGAGATTTCTTATGGATGTGGAAAGGGTGTTGCCACTTTTATTAACGTCACATACATTGCACTTAACAGGGGTGTAATAACAGGCTATCGTTTCAACGCCTCAAATGGAACTGCTCCAGTCGTTTTGACACCGGAAGAAACCTCAAATTTCACAAACGAAGTCAACAATGGACTACAGACATCGAATCTCTTCCAAGGAATCGTGATCTACCAGGGCCCCGTCCAGGGCCCCACAGAAACATACAGCATTGATTTTATTGGGGATATTCCAGAAACAGAGCAGCAGGCTATGCTTACCGACATTGAAAGGGCATGGATGAACACATATCCAGGTTGGTAGATACTTCTACTAACTTAGTTTTTGTATCTATTGCATAAACCGTGGCCAGTGATTTAAAATAACAATGGATACATTCGATAACTCTTCACCTCTGATACTTGGTCGCTGTGATTGTCTCCCTTTACTATGACTGTGTAGGCATGCGGTGTGACTGTATAGAAGGTATATATCTTTGTCAATAGACACATCCTTCTTGTTTTGGTGTGTCTGTTTATTTCAAGCAAACTGATTATTAACATAAAATGTATTTTGCCATTCGACGATATCTGATGAAGTTTCATGTAGATGTTATTTTTCTAGTGAAACAATGTTTCCACCTGAATTTCATGATCTCATGTACCTGATATTTCTCTTTTTTGTAGACTGCAGATGTGTGTTCCGTACAAATATTGTTAACATGGATGAATTCTCTGGAGATTTTGGGTAAGTAACAAAAACACCATAATACCTGTGCAGCATATCCAAATGAACATGGATAAAAACAGAGCTGACGGAGTGGAATAGTCTACACCTTTCTTATTTTTAATTAAGACTAAGAATACATAAACACAACGAATATATCGGTATGTTCACTCAAATTAGATGTGTACAATAAAACATAATATGGTTCAATGATATAATACATATGCTTTCAGTATTAAAGTGACCAGAGTATACTACACAATCACAAAAGACGGACTCGTCCAGGATGCTCAAACAGTAAGGCCTCCATCACGTCAGGTCTTCTACAACACTGTACAGGGAGACAACAGTATCAACTCCATCTACTCCGGAACCACACTCATCCCTTACAGCCAGCACCACAATGTGTTCTTGAGCAAGGTAGTGGACATGAACAGTGACGAGGGGGAGACAAGTTCGGGATCAGATCAGATCCACATGGATCACATGGAGAAACACTTCTCCTGCAGGTAGGCATGATGGCTTATGCAGCTTTAGTGGAAGTTGAGTGTGTGAAGTGTATTTGTATGGCTTGTAGGGTTAATTGTGACAACCAGATGAGAGAAAATATCAGCATGGTTTGATTGGTTTGTGTATTTGTTCTTCCATGATGAAATCAGACATTGCATCATGTGACAATTGTGTGGAGGGGTAGTCTAGTGGTTAAGGCGTTTCCTCGCCACGCCGAAGACCCAGGTTCGATTCCCCATATGGGCACAATGTATGAAACCCATTTCTGTGTGACCCGTCATGATATTGCTGGAATATTGCTAAAGCGGCATAAAACTAAAGTCACTCACTCAGTCACAGGTGACACATGACTTAACAACAAGGATATCCAATCAGGTTATGACGTTTCCTTTCAGTTCCGGAAACCCTGAGACAGGCTCCAATGGAAATCAAGCTTCTGAGACCACTGATCTACTATACTCAGGATGGGTATGACCTGTTTGTAATTTGTAAAAGAGATTGAACTGTCAACTGTTTTATTGTGCAATAATAACGGTTAGTGTCTTCAGGAAAAACATAACTGAATATAATTAAATAATACAAATGAAATCCATCTCAGAAAAATTGCATATGTTTGCATATTTCTATTTTTGCAGGAGACAGCTGACAAAACTTGAGTATTTCGTCATATTGAATAGCACGAATGTCATTGGACCACAACAGGAGACAGACGGTGTCACTTTTACAGGGCCTTTGTTCTGTGATGATTGTGACGCAATTCCAGTTCCCTTTGTGGAGGTCAATGGTCGCCTCTCTCCTGCACAGATTCAGACTCTTGGTTTCAATCTTAATCCATCCGGTAAGGACTGAATTCTCTTCTATGAAGCATGCATATCAATGGATGCTGATATAAAAGTTACCATTGTAAAATACGACACCATTGTTTACATCACTTCGTTTTGTATTCTATGAATGATGATGTACCTGACAAAATATGACATATAAAATGTGTTGTGTTTCAGATGGGTCAGCAGTCAACACTGAAATGTTTTTCAATTCTAGAAAGTAAGTATATATATATCTGTGAATCAAACACCCCCTTCCTGATTAAAAAGTCTATATGCTTATAATATACAAACAATATCCTTATGTTATAGCATCATTTCATTTTTTTATGTAACCACAATACCTCGTGAAGTGATGTCATAAGATGATAAAGATTAGGATTTAAACAAATATTTTGTTCCAGCGAGCCAGTGACACGAGTTTACTACAGACCGCCCATATCTGGACCGGATGTGACGTCAACAGCTGTCAGTCAGCAAAGATTAAATCAAGTACTAACCAATCAGAATCTGGAACAGCCTTCACTGCCAACACAGAAGTCCTTTACAGTCAATATTGCTGGACGTACTGGAAATAATAACAGAAATGCCATCATTCAGATCCTCAAAAACCTTTGGGGTAGGTGCAATGTATTTTGTCACTGTAGATCTAAACAGAACATCTTCAAAGTAGCCATAGAAGAGTAGCCTTGGCTAAGCTTAAGGTAATTATTACCATAAACATTATTTGATATAGAAACTGATTATTCAGGTCACAGTTAAAAAAATAGTATTTTTGTAGTATAAATTGTTTTGGTTTGCTTTACTCAGTCTTTGTAACAATGTAGGGCTGGGTACTCGGGTTCTCGAATCCAGGTCGGGTACAGCTGGAATCAAGTCCTATTTCTAGGAATCGAGTACCCGGAAAGGGAGAGAACTCTGTAATGACAAGAGCAGATAATAACTTGTCATGTTTTTCATTATTGATGTAACATACATTTACATCATTGGTATTGTCCGATATAGGGAGGTTATTATTAACGACTGTAATTAATCTGCGCATGAGCAGTGAGTAGTCAAGTTACAGTAACAGTAGGAACGAAAAGTTTATCTTAATGAGCAATGTTAGTAATGGTGTTACTCTTTATATTGGTTAACAGACGTAGATTATTTAGCTTAAGATCATTTTTTAATGTCTTATTGCCACCCTTATAAGCTTTATATAATAATCTCTGTCAAATCGTGATTGAATATTCAGAAAGTTGACAGAATGGCTGTATTCCTTACATTTCCGGGTACTCGATTCCGATTCGGGTAAGTACATGCGGGTACTTGATTCCATTTTTTCCTACCCGTCCCAGCCCTATAACAATGTATATATATTTGTTACAGTTACAACCTTCAGCATCCCATCTGATTCCGTGTCAATTGATGTGAAGGACATTGATGATAGTTACGTCAGCACAGCAAGGTACGATACGCCACAGCCTTACTGTATTTGTGTACATCAACATACATACATACATACATACATACACGCACGCACGCACGCACGCACGCACACGCACATGCACACACACACACATACACACATACACACATACATACATACATTCAGGCATGTTTGTTCGAAACAATAGTTTGGATGTCGACAGTGCAAACATTTTGAAGGGCCTTTGTAGTTCCATCACAAATGTTCTAACGATGAAGGAGAGGTGGGATAGCCTAGTGGTTAATCGTCCGCTCTCCACACTGAAGACACAGGTTCGATTTACCTGATGGTACAATGTGTGAGGCCCATTTCTGGTGTCCCCTGCTAGAATATTGCTAAAGGCGAAGTAAAACCTTACTCACTCACTCACTCTATTGCTGAAGTAGAATTGGCAAGATACGACATATTCCCTATTCCAGTCACTGTATTATGGTTTCATGTTATTAAATGTCAATAACTTTCTTTTCTTGTGATGTTCGAATATAAACACCTTCTTCTCTAACCTTATGTCAGTAACGTCGGCTGGTCTGTGTTCATACCGTCGGCCAACACGCTGCGATATGATAGACATTGGTGTCTAAAATTTTGTTAAAAAGAACTCACTCATTCACAATGCTTAACATTACATTTCTGCAGATAGGAACAGTACACAAAGCTTGTGTGTATTACTGCAGGAACCAATATACTAAGGTCAGTCAGTGGTACACAAGACGACATAAAAAACCAGACGTTGCCGTTTTACGACACACTTTCATTCGGGTGTACACTCCTTTGGTGGATACAAGTTTGTTGTTATACTTAAGGACACAACTTAAGTGAAACTGTTCTTTTACAGCGGATCACCGGTTACCCAGGTAACCTACACAGTGGACATCCAAGGAGCAGACTCTCGCTGGACACAGTATGAAGGATTGGACCCTGCGACACTCGGCCAATATTTCCGATCTCTTGGGATTAATTTGGTTGAAGGCGATATAATCAGGATAGAGGGTAGAACCACACCTTCGTCAGGAACAGGACAAACTGCTACTCCAACATCACCAACGGGCACGATCAGCACTGTCAGCGTCATTGTCTTGAGGGGCAACATTAGTGACAGCTATCAGACGGCAGTGGAAGAACTTCTGCAGAATGCACTGAATAGAACCAAGAACGGTAAATAAGGATTGAAATATATCTTTGGCTGCAATTCAGGAACCTTTGATAGAACAAATGACAAAAGCGTGATGTTTTCCAAAACAAATCGGGGATGGTGTGTAGACTAGTGGTTAAAGTGTCCGTTTGCTGAAGACCCAGGTTCGAATCCCCCACATGGACACAATGTGTGATGCCCATTTCTGGTGTCCCCCACCATGATATTGCTGGAATATTGCTTTAAAACGGCGTAAAATAAACTCACTCATTCATAACAAAACGAGATGTCCTAGGAGTATCTATAAGCATTGATGATATTTATAAAGTGGAATTGTACGCCAGATGATATGTGTGAAGTGGAATTTTACTCCAGATGATATGTGTAATGTGGAATTTTACTCACAATGATATGTGTAAAGTGGAATTTCACTCCAGATAATTGAACGCCAGATGATACATGTAAAGTGGAATTTTACTCCAGATGATATATGTAAAGTGGAACTTTACGGTATCTGCATCTGCATCTTGTGTTTTTCATTGCCTGGGACCACACTATGACTGATCTGTGCCTCCTATATGTTAAAACTATGTTTCTGTCAATACAACAACAAAGTTATGTAATACTTCTTCCATTACAGGTGCATCGTGTTGCATACAGCTACACATCATTGAACAATCAACTGTCTTTGATCCCAATGGGTGAGTCAAACATCTTAGTTGTACGATTCTGATACCTGAAACAACCAGCCCTTGAAGCACAGTATACTGGAGAACATCTTTATTAAGACCTTGTCTTTCCATTGCAGTGGTGTCCTGACAAGTTATCGTTTCAACGCCACTAACAGCAGTGCACCAGTCTTGTTGAATCCTGAAGAAATTGCAAATTTCACAAACGAAGTGAGCAATGGACTACAGACATCTGAGGTCCTCCGAGGACAAGGAATTGTGATCTACCAGGGTCCCGTCCAGGGCCCCACCGACACATACAGTGTTGATTTTGTTGGGGATATTCCAGAAACGCGGAAACAAACTGTGGTTAGAGACATTGAAAGGGCATGGCTAAACACCTATCCAGGTTGGTACATACTTTTACTATAACTTTGGGGGTCAGTGAGGTAGTTTAGTGGTTGAAGCGTTCACTCATCACGCCGGTTCGATTCCCCAAATGGGTACAATGTATGAAGCCCATTTCTGGTGTCCCCGTCAGAATGTTGCTGGAATATTGCCAAAAGTGGCATCAAACCATACTCACTCACTCACTCTCACTCACTCACTCACTCACTCACTCACTCACTTAGTTTTGGTATCTATTGCATAATTCATGGACAGTGATTTAATATAACATTAGATAAATTCGATAAATATGTTCATATATATAACTGTATGTAATATGTAGATATATGTATTTATTACCTACGAGGGATGATCGGGGCTCATATTTTTCATACGATGCCCTTGGGCAGAATATCACCTTGTCATGGTGATGTGATGTCATGAACAATGCTATGACGTCATGCTTCTTCTGTGGCGATGGCGGGTAGCCAACCTATGTTTGAAAGTAGATTTGGGGTTATTTTCCTCAATTTGATGACTTCGGTAATAAACAGAATATTATATTCGTGCCCATATCATACTAACTTTACAACGTGCCTAAATATGGGTATATCCCTCGCTCTCGCTCAATAAATACCAACATTTAGGCACTCGTGTCGTAAACATAAAAATGACATGGACACTCATATAATATCCTCTATATTATTTGTATGTATATCAATGCAATCTTTTGCTTCTATTTAATTTAAAAAAATATGTTTTGCTTTTAGACTGCAGATGTGTGTTTAGTGCCGATGTTGTACGAACAGATGAATTCTCAGGAGATTTCGGGTATGTTTATATTCTGCTGACATCAATTCGATCTAACTGTGAGATATAAGCAGCGAATCAAATCCATAACCAGATTGTTCCTGCTAAAAGTACAAACCATTGTACCAGCCGAACTAGATCATAGTATGTATCTGTGAACCACTGACAACCAATAAGGATACTCAGTCATCTTCAAAGCCATGGTGATGTTTGTCTGAATTCATCCAAGATTTATTAACAATGCCATAGTGTTTTCGAAGTCAATAGGAAACGTATGCTTCGTGTAAATGTTGGCTAATGAGCATATTTTGTGGATGATACTATTTTCTTCACAACACAGCATCAAGATAACCAGGGTATACTACAGAATCAGAAGGAACGGACTCATCCAGGATCCTCAAACAGTAACACCTCCATCACGTCAGGTCTTCTACAACACTGTACAGGGAGACGACAGTATCAACTCCATCTACTCCGGCGCCACACTCATCCCTTACAGCCAGCACCACAATGTGTTCTTGAGCAAGGTAGTGGACATGAACAGTGACGAGGGGAGACAAGTCCTGGATCAGATCAGATCCACATGGATCACATGGAGAAACACTTCTCCCGCAGGTAGGCATGATGATGGCTTATGCAAGTGAATGTTCCTGTATACTAGAAGCTGTTTGTGTGATCTAGAAGCCGATGGTATATACCAGAAGCCTTTTTTCGTGATCTAGAAGCCGGTTGTATATACCAGAAGCCGTTTGTGTGAAATAGAAGCCAATTGTTTATACTAGAAGCTGTTTGTGTGATCTAGAAGCCGGTTGTATATACCAGAAGCCGTTTGTGTGAAATAGAAGCCAATTGTATATACTATAAGCTGTTTGTGTGATCTAGAAGCCAGTTGTATATACCAGAAGCCGTTTGTGTGAAATAGAAGCCGATTGTATATACCAGAAGCCATTTGTGTGAAATAGAAGCCGATTGTTTATACCAGAAGCTGTTTGTGTGATCTAGAAGCCAATTGTATATACCAGAAGCCGTTTGTGTAAAATAGAAGCCGATTGTATATACCAGAAGCTGTTTGTGTGATCTAGAAGCCGATTGTATATACCAGAAGTGGTTTGTGTGATCTAGAAGCCAATTGTATATACTGGAAGCTGTTTGTGTGATCTAGAAGCCGATTGTATATACTAGAAGCTGTTTGTGTGATCTAGAAGCAGATTGTATCTACTAGAAGCTGTTTGTATATACTAGGAGCTGTTTGTGTGATCTAGAGCCGATTGTATATGCTAGAAGCCGATTGTATATACCAGAAGCCGTTTGTGTGATCTAGTAGCCGATTGTATATACTAGAAGCTGTTTGTATATACTGAACCACACACTGGTATTATTAAATTTGATAGCACGATTTTCTTGTTTTTGGCAGCGTGTAATGCAATTTGATGCAACAAATTTTGATGCAACAGTATTATTATCATCCTCATAACTTGAGACACAGGAGATCATCAGAGTCATACTTCGCACTGAGTTGCTTCTCCTGGGTGTGCCATGATCCTGAGTTCGAATCATCATCATCATCATCATCATCATCCTTGTTTGATAATATTCATATACAACATTACATTTCAGTGCCTGAAAACCTCAGACAGGTTCCAGTCGAAATACGGCTTCTTCGACCTTTGATTTATTACACTCAGGATGGGTAAGCACAACTTAACAGCTTTTTATGTTACAGAACGGCTTAAAGCAAGTACCCACATGAAGGATTGCAATGTTATCACACTCTCCTTCATATACTGGACAAAAATAGTTAGGGATATATGTAAATTTATTCATTGACACACTGATAAAATATCAATCATAAAAATACCAGTATCTCTAACTTATTTTGTCCAGTATATCTCCATATCTTATTGAAGTAGCGATAATGTTCTGTACTATATCTGATATTCTCACTTTGACTGGAAGTATATGAGTTATACTTCGACTCAACCAATGTTGAGTCATACAGATAACTGCATTTTCTAATTGTTCAACTATTCTAAAATTAGATTAAATTTGTCTCAGATGATGTTAACATTAGTAACACGCATGCATGTGTATTGTGCACGGAAACTTGTACAGAATACATTCTGTTTCAGGAGACAAGTGACAAAACTGGAGTATTTTGTTATTCTGAATGGCACCCTTGTTATTGCACCACAACCAGAGATAGACAGTGTCACCTTCACAGGTCCATTGTTCTGCGACTGTGACGCAATTCCTGTTCCCTTCATAGAAGTCAATGGTCGCTTGTCACCTGGTCAACTAACAACCCTTGGCTCTAATCTCAATCCCTCAGGTTCGTCTCACAGACACTTGAACAATATGTGTACCTTCTTTAACTGTTAATATACTGATGCCAATAATGGTTGCCCTTCAAAATTTTTTATTGGAGAGGGGGTGTGGGGTTGGGGTGGTGAGGGGGGTGACAACCATTATTGGCATGAGTATATGTTATTGTGTGCAATTTAATTTTCAGGTGATTGAATATGATTCTTGACCTCTGCTTTGAGCAGAGATTTCTCATGAAAGTTTTCTCTTGGCATACGTACCCATGAAGATCCAAGTTAGAACTGGTCTTCAGCAACCCATTCTTGTCGTAAGAGGCGACTAACGGGATCGGATGGTCACTCTTGTTGACTTGGTTGACCATGTCATTGTATCCCAATTCTGTAGATAGATGCTCACGTTGTTGATCAGTGGGGTGTCTGGTCCAGACTCTATTATTTACAGCCTGCAGCCTGATATAGCTGGAATATTGCTGAGTGCGGTGTTAAACAACAACCTAAACAAACAAACACTTTTGTGATACCCTTTTTCTGTCTGTGAAATATGTTATATCTTGTTTCAGGCGGATCAGTAACGATGAGCGAAATGTTTGTCAGTTCCAACAAGTGAGTTTTAATAATTATCAGGATATACAGTTTGATGCCCCCCTTGTGATTTCTTTTTATAAATTGTAAGGACATGCATCCTGTAAATTCATCAAGTGGATGTTTTGACTGTCAATATACGTGAACGAGGAGTAACTCAACACTCAGTTATGCACCCAAGCAGATTTCATTTGGTCTAAAATGGAAGATAGCATTGAAAATATTATGAAGGGGTGGAATCATTGGTTACCATGTGTTTCAGAAAAAGGTTATGTCCTTCCGTACCAGTAGCATAAAGTATGAAACAAGTATTTTGAAGAAAAATAATTTTGTAACTGCTTACAGTGAGCCAGTGACGCGAGTGTACTACAGACCTCCAATATCAGGCCCGGATGTGACGTCAACAGCGGTCAGTCAGGAGACATTGGATCAAATATTAACCAATCAGAATCTGAAACTGCCCACACTGCCGACAGACAAATCTTATACATTGAACTTTGCTGGTCGTATTGGAGATAATGACAAAGATGTCATCCAACGAACAATCCAAAATGTTTGGGGTAAGTTGATATATGGGGTTTGTTGAACATGTAACTTAATCCATTTTTCCTCATAATGCACTGCAACTTGAATTGTGCTCTTGCAAAGAATCATTCACTTAGTTCCTCTGGAGGTCAGAGACATTTGTGACATCATCATGGTCCTGGTGCTTCACATACATTGTACCGCCGCCATATAGCTGGAATATTGCTGAGTGCGGCGTAAAACTGAACTCACACACTCACTCACATACATTGTAATATATCCTTACAAAATATTCAATATTTTCTCTAATTTTATACATTTTGTTTGAGTGAGGGAGTTAAGGCTGTATTATACCAGCAATACCATCACTGAGGAACACTCATACTGTAAATGATCAACTGTAGCCATGTTTGAAATTGAACTGAGACTTTTGGAGTGAAGAACAAATACTTTTGCCACTAAGCTAACCACAAAACTTTGCACTGAAATATTATAAATATCTCTAAGAAACTGATTGCATTGTGTATTTATAATGCACCACAACAGACAAACTTTCACATTGCTGAATAAGATTACTTTAAATGTTTGTAACTTTTATTTTACAATACCATAATTCATTTTAATTCCATGTGTTTGATCTTGTATCTAACATTGTAACTACCATATTCAATATCATATAGCATTTCTATACTTTCAGCAGTCAAGTGCAACCTTAAAGTCAATCATTTTATGTCTATTTATAATTCACCACAACAGACGAAGCTCCAGATTGCTGAATTATATAGATTTAGACTTAACGTGTTTGTACCTTTTAATTTACAATACCATAATTCATTTTAATACGAATGCATATTTTCAGGTACAACATTCAACATCCCATCAAACTCTTTGTCTGTTGATATAAAGAGCATGGATGACAGCTACATCAGCTCAACAAGGTAACATCGGTCATATCAGTTTCAGCTCACATGTGTTTGATCTTGTATCTAACATTGTAACTACAACATACAGTGTCATATAGCATTTCCATACTTTCGGCAGTCAAGTGCAACCTTAAAGTCAATGTTTATGAGTGTTGTATACTCTTCACACTTGTGGAGTTACTGTACAGGTCCAGGCACTATCTTGTCTTCGTATGATCACTGATACTATCACCTCCATCAGTCAAGTATAGGGTCGTTTGTAGAGTTGTATGGTCCCCAGGGAGTTGAGATTGATAATGCGATGTGCCGTTGAGATTGACATCCAATGATCGAGGGAAAAAATACCAGCGCCTTGAGCATGCACTAGTGCGTGGATATGTGCGCTAAATAAATATCATATAATAAATAGCTGTTGGTAGTATCTATAGTCTACAATGTTGTTTTGAACAACTCTGTAGGACTGGATACTGGGCATAACCGCTTAATGGCTTCATGACTTCTCACATATAGCAAATACCACCGTCCTCATATTTCATTGGCCAAAGAATTAAAGGCCAAGAATTATTCTTACACAGCCAAAAAACGACAGGTTATAGTGGGGATGTAAATGGTTTCATGTCAATTTTTTATATTTTAATATTTTCTACATGTAGAAATATGAACTAGTAACCCTATAAGGATTCAAATAGACAAAGGACATCGTGTCAAACGGAAACTCTTTTACAGCAACACACCTGTGACCCAGGTCATCTACACAGTGTCCATCCAAGGCGCAGACTCTCGCTGGACACAGTATGAAGGAGTAGACCCTGGGATGCTCGACCAATATTTCAGATCCAGCGGTTTGACCTTGGTTCAAGGAAATGTAGAAAGGACAACCTCAGGTACAGGATCGACGGTCACAACACCAACGCCGACAGGCACGACCAACCTGGATGGTGTTATCTATCTGACGGGCAACATCGGCGACAACGAACAGGCTGCTCTGGAGGAAGTGTTCAAGAGTGCCCTCAATAAAACAAAGAATGGTAAACAGTAACATATGTTATATTTGGGATGGTAAACAGATTAATTACGATCTCTAGTCCATCTTTAAGGGTGTTGCGCGTATATACATATGTCCACTCTGCTTGGTTGATGGAAATCTGCAGGAAGCATGCTTTCATACCAATACAAGGAGTAATCAACTTGTATACTTGAAGTTTAAAAAGGGTAATAGAGACTTTGTGAAAAAGATATATTTTCATAGACTTCAATTTTGAATAGTTTTGGTATCGATTGGTTACATATAAAATAGCAACACTGTTTATTGTTCCAGGTCCCGCATGTTGCATAGATCTATACATTATTGAGAGGACGAACTACCTAGACCCTGCTGGGTAAGTAATGTGTTTTCATCCATAGAAAAGAAACACTGCCTAGTGAGTGAGTGAGTGAGTGAGATTTTATGTCGCAGTTAGCAATTTTCCAGCAATAGTACAGCAGTTGGCACCAGAAATGGCCTTCACACATTGCTCCCGTTTTGGGAATCGAACCTGGGTCTTCGGTTTGACGAGCAAATGCTTTAATGACAATACTACCCCGAAGCTCTAAAAGTCTAGTACGGAAGTTGTGTTTGGAACGTATCATTATATTTACATATACTTATGATTCATCGAACAGAAATATCATCACTGGCTACCGATACAATGCCACCAACGGAAGTACGCCCATTGTCTTGACGCCAACAGAGAGAGACAATTTCACAAGGGAGGTGAACAACGAGCTCCAGACATTGGCGCCCTTCCGAGGTCGAGGCATACAAGTATACCAAAGCTCCGTACAAGCTCCCACAGACACATACACTATTGATTTCATAGGCGAAATAACACAGACAGAGCGAGGAGCCGTTATAACGGATATCGAGAGAGCGTGGCTTAGCGTTAATCCAGGTGAGTCTGTTGACTGTGAACACATGTAAAAGATTACAGTAGCCTAAGTTTAAACAAAGCGCTGTTCAGAGTTCGGCCTTAAGCCGTCTCAGGATGCGGTTCTCATGTGGTCAGATCTCAGTTTTTCCCGAACGTGATTGTGGTATATTAGCATATAGCCATATGGTTGGTTTCACCGTAGTCCCATTGGTTTCCCCTGAAACCTGTACTGGTTGTAGGAGTCGGTCCCATGGATCTGGTGACTACGACTGGGGGAATCTTTGTTGACATAAGCAGTCACTGGATGATCGTATCCAGACTCGATTATTTGCAGACGGTCATCATAACTGGATGGGTTTTTGGGGGGGTAACAGACAAACAATCATGGAAGGTTTGGGTCCTTTTTTCACTTTGACCTTTGCTCCAGCACGCAGTAACCTGACAATGCTAGTGTAATAGAAGGTTATGTACTGGGGAGGTTTTAGTGACTGCTGGTGACATTCCTGTTCTGTAGATGTACATTTGAACCCGTCTGTATGATTATCAAAAAACTTACTGAATTTGCTTTTACACTTTCTAGATTGCGGATGTCTGTTCAAGGCCAATATTACTAAAACGGAAGCATTGTCGGGAGATTTTGGGTAAGTTATAGACAATATCCATACAATAATTAAGCTTTCTGACTAAGGAGTGAAAGAGAAGAAGAAACAATAGTGCCCATTATCATGTTATTGTTCACAGACCATTTCTGCCACTTTCGAATGTTTGGACATATTTTAAGTTTACTGTTTGTGTAATTCATCCATAATTTCACCGTTATTATAATCTGTGTTGTCCCTCTGTCTAAACAGACTGGTATTATATTAATAACTAAAAGGTTGCGAACAAAGTGTTCTTAGTAACATTGACGTCAAAATTTATGACAAGCTAGAAGATATTTTATACTCGTATCAGTGTTCCATTCTTTCAGGCTTGATTTATTACTTAATAGTCCATAGATGTGCGATCAAGATATTGTTAACATTTATTTTACAACGAACACTGACTTAACAAGCCAACTGATAATTCTTCTTACATAGATGTTGCCTCCATTTTGGTTGTGTTCGATTGTGAAATAGAGATATTTCTAAAGTCTCGTTAAATACAAAACTGATTTAAATACCATGTTATGTGTATATAGAATGACATGTCTGATTATCCCAATAAAAGATGAGTGGTATATGGACAATTGGAAATGGTAACGAGACTAACATATACTGGACAAAATAAGTTAGGGATATTGGTATTTTTATGATTGATATTTTATCAGTGTGTCAATGAATAAATAGATCATTATTCATAATTTCAAAAATTACATATATCCCTAACTATTTTGGCCAGTATATGTAACACATTGTATACTCTTATATTTCAGTACTGTAGTAACCAGAGTATACTACACAATCACAAAGGACGGACTCGTCCAGAATCCTCAAACAGTAATACCTCCATCACGTCAGGACTTCTACAACACAGTACAGAGAGATGACAGTATCAACTCCATCTACTCCGGCGCCACACTCATCCCTTACAGCCAGCACCACAATGTGTTCTTGAGCAAGGTAGTGGACATGAACAGTGACGAGGGGAAACGAATCCTGGATCAGATCAGATTCACATGGATCACATGGAGAAACGCCGACCAAGCAGGTGCGAGAAAACTGTCATTCCACACACATAAGGAATGTATACTTATGACAGAGTCCATTGTACAGTTCCATGGCATAAACATGTAGGCATGTCAAACAGTGATGCTAACAGATGAATGTTATCATTTTCATAACTAGGTGATGTCTTGTTAATTATATTATCAGAATGGGGAGAGGATTCATCTTCAGCAGCCCATGCTTCTCATAAGAGGTAGGGGTGGTGGGGTAGCCTAGTGGTTAAAGCGTTGGCTCGTCACGCCAAAGACCCGGGTTCGAATCCCCACATGGGCACAATGTGTGAAGCCCATTTCTGGTGTCCCCCGCCGTGATGTTGCTGGAATATTGCTAAAAGCGGCGTAAAACCACACTCAGTCAGTCAGTCAGTCATAAGAGGCGACTATCGGCTAAGGCTCGCTGACTTGGTTGACACATGTCACCGTATCCCAATTGCATAGATCCATACTCATGTTGTTGATCAGGTGATTGTCTGGTCCAGACTTGATTATTAACAGAGTGATGTCGTATAGCTGGAATATTACCGAGTGCAGTGTTAGACAACAAGCAAACATTATAATATCACTTGATACATTGATATCAGTATAATTATGAGTTTGTTTACCTGGTTATCTTGGAAAATAATTAATGAAGTTAATGTGTTGTTTCCAGTACCTGAAAGCCTGAGGAATGCTCCACTAGAAATCAGACTACTGAGACCACTGATGTACTACACCACAAATGGGTACGTGTATAGCACCTACTATCAAAGATTTCTAAAACAAATATCATGTTGCATGGTAACTCACCTCACATAAATGCAATAAGGACTATTTGCACTTAATGACTTTGATGTTTAATATTGATAATTGACTTCACCAAGACTTCATAATAAAAAAGTATTTCTACTAGGAACATGATATGTCAAGTTATTGTTAAACGTTTTGATAGCAAGGTATAGCCTATATAAGAGATGTGTGTAAAGGAAATGATACTGTCATTGAAACTAGTTTGAGGGAATATTTCATGTTATTATGTAAGCATATTTTTCCGGCTACCTGATTGGTCTAGAGGTGGTCACGTGACCGTCGACAGAAAAGCATATTGACTCCAACCCAGGTCCGACCAAAAGTGATATTGACTTGAGTTACTAAAAATAGATTTTGTGTATGTAAGGGCATCAAGCTATGACGTCATTCTGTTGTTACATGTCACAGGATTGTTGACATGACATTATTGGTTTGTAGTGAAAATTTAATTACTTTTCTTATGGACATGTTTTGGTTTTTGGAAGCTTTTTTTCGGTAATTACATAATAAAACAATTAAAGACTGTTGAATTCGGTCAATATCTGTTTTTATGGACCTGCGAAAAGCAATTTTGACCTTTGACTTCGTCCTTAGTCAATGTTGTTTTTCGCGGGTCCATAAAAACAGATATTGACCTCATCACCAGTCTATAATTGTATAAAGTTCTGTTTCATTCCTTCTTTTAGAACACAGCTGACGAAACTCGAGTATTTCGTTATTTTGAATAATACCACTGTCATTGGACCTCAACCCGACACAGAACGTGTTTCCTTGAGAGGACCTCAATTCTGTGATTGCAAGGCAATTCCTGTTCCGTTTATTGAAGTGAAAGGTCTCCTGTCATCTGACCAGCTTCAGGCTCTTGGATCCAGCCTTAATCCATCAGGTAAGTTTACGAATAAATACTGTATGAAGTACTTATTACAAACGTTCCACATTGAAATTATTGTTATCCTTGTCAATGTTCTGGCACAAATGGTATAAATACGAACACTCTAAGAAGGGATACGTTTTTTATATTGGGAGTATATCATGTTGTAATAATTGTTAATATTATATATTGTTTTCAGATGGGTCAGCCACAATAAGCGAGCTTTTCATCACTTCAGAAGAGTGAGTTATGGAATGAATACTATATAAGTGTATATCAATGATTATATACAAGTCTAGATAAGACTTTTTAACAGTACTACTTTCTTTCTTGTCATATAAAAACATACTAATATATCAAACTGATTAAGGAATAAAAATGACATACTGAATGAGTGTTTAATAGATGACATGATTGCTCTTCCATAGCAACCCAGTAACACGTGTGTACTACCTTCCCCAAATATCGGGCCCGGATGTGATGTCAACAGCCGTCAGCAGTCAGAGACTGAATCAAATATTGACCAGTCAGAATTTGGAAGAGCCTTCCCTGCCAACTGATAAGACCTTCACCTTAAACTTTGAAGGACGTGTTGGAAGAGATAAGATACCCCAAATAGAACAGACCATTGAAAATCTATGGAGTAAGTTGACACCTATATGTACACACACAGTGACACCTTCACTCAAAATGTTATGGCAAATAACTATTTCAATATTTTCATTTAATCTTTCCTGAAAGGTAGGCATGATAGAAAAAGAGGAATGTTAGTTCTGTATACCAGCTTCTAAATGCCACTCAAAGAAGTAGTATTACAGCTTGGATAATCTCCATCGAGACTGTTATTTGCCTTACAAGGTTAAAAATAAGATGTTGTGCATTTCAGTTGGTACTTTTGACATGCCATCTGATGCGGTGTCTGTCAATGTGGAGAACCTGGATGGTGATTATATCAGTTCAAGGTATGGTGATATATAATATGACAATAATCTAACAGTATTTTGTAATTTGGATTTGCAGTACTGTGTGTCACACAATTCAAAAGCATGTTAACTTCATTAAACTCAATAATCAATTTGATAGCAACTATTTAGAAATATAGCAACATATAATTGCAAATGACTTAACATAAACAGAAAATGGACACCAGAATGAGAACCATTTAAATACCTGATCTAATATATCGATATATCTACCGATAAATAATATTATCTTGTAAAGGAAGAAATGGTTTATTTTAAGATATGTACAGTAACATACCATACAGACAGCATAATTTTGTTTGCTGCCCTTATGACCTCAGTGTATGGTCAAATAACAACACCGTCTTTTCAGCAACAACGCTGTAACCAGAATGACATACACAGTGTCCATCCGTGGAGCTGACTCTAAGTGGACGAGATTTGAGGGGGTCGACCCAGCTCGATATTTCACTTCCTCAGATCTTGTCGTTTTCGGAGGCGAAATAACTAGAGGAGGATCAGGAACAAGCTTGTCAACAACATCGACTACAGCGACTACAGCTGGGCCAATGTACCGTGTAGACAATATCTATTTGAAAGGAAACATAAACGACCTCGATCAGCCGGTTGTAGAAGCTGCCCTGCAGAGAGCCATGGACAGAATCAACAGTGGTAAATGACACTCGTTTATTTATAATAACAGGAGCAAGACCTGTGAGGGGCGGTTGGGTAGCCCAGTGGTTGAAGCGTCCGCTCGTCATGCTGAAGACCCCGGTTCAATTCCCCACATGGGTACAATGTGTGAAGCCCATTTCTGGTGTCCCCCACCATGATATTGCTGGAATATTGCAAAAGGCGGTGTAAAACCATACTCTCTCACAGAGCACGCTGTGAGTGATTATTTCTCAAGTCAATTGAATACATTTTGAAATTATATATGTATTTTCAATTCCTCACATATCTGTCAAACCCTCATATTCATTTTCATGACTGATGTTAAAGGGTTTATGTACTAATTAGTATACCCTGACGTATGTGGTGACTGAAAAGTAGAAACGATGCCACTGACAAATCTTATAAATTCTGCAGTGCATTTATGCCTCTTTGAAATGATAATCTATTTTAATTATACTGCTTACTTAGTAAATATTAATTGTCAATATTTTATGCGTAAGATGTTTAAAATTCAAGATACATAAAACATGTATAAAAGTCAATGCACTATGGAGTATGGATGTGTATTTTTGCTGTAGGATCATCCTGCTGCCTGAAGGTTGATATTCTGAAGCGGACAGCCTATGCTAACCCTGCCCAGTAAGACATATGCTATATAAGCTTGTTGGTTTGTTGTTTTACGCCACACTTAGCAATATTGAAGCTATATAGTGGCGGTATGTAAATAATCGAGTCTGGAACAGACAATCCAGTGATCAAGAGCATGAGCATCGATGTACACAACTGGGATAAGATGACATGTGTCAACAACGTCAACGAGCCTGACCACCTGATCCCGTCAGTCACCTCTCATGACAATCATGGGTTTCTGAAGATGAATACTAATCCCGATCTTCACGGATTTGGATAAGTGTAACAGCATCTGACATTATACAATTATAGATTCTTGTGGAGGTCGATATCGGTTTTTATTGACCTGAGTAAAACAATATCGACCGAGCTTGCGAGGTCGATATTGTTTTTCTCAGGTCAATAAAAACCGATATCGACCTCTACAAGAGTCTATAATTGTTTTATTATAATAATGAAAGAGAAACGGGTTTTAACATAAACTTTTAATGCACACACTGTGCCATCTATCCGAGTGATCTGATTGGCTGAAAAGCGGGGGAAGCCCCTTCATATGGGATTCCTTGTCTATTTTTAGTAACCCAAGTCAATATCGTAATTTATCAGAAAACTCAAGTCAATATCGTGTTTTGTAGTCAATCATGTGATGGTATTTTGACCAATCGTGGTACAGGAAAAATACTACCAATATAATAAACACTTATATCCAGGTATGCACATACTAGATAAGCTCGTCTGATCACAATAATCCATTAGATACCTGACATAGACTGCGCAGAAAATTTCAGCTCTTCATAACTGATTTGCTTTTATCATATGAAAGTAATGTGAGGTGAGGTGAAATGGGGTTTAACGTCGCACTTAAGAATATTTTACTCCTATGACGATGTGCATGCGTGTGTATGGGTGGCTGTGTGGCAGCTTGTACTAGCCTAGAGAAGCTGGTTTTATAGTGCTAGCTCACTGAGATACCATGCCACAGTTCAGCATGAATGCCCCACTCAGACACATTATACTGACTCCGAACCAACCAGTCCTTGTTGTACCCATTAATGCCGAGCGCCAGGCAGGGACCCACAAGTACCATATTTTAACATCCTTTGGTATGATCGAACCCGTGAACACTCTATCCACTACACCACGGAGGTGGAGAAAGTAATGTGAATGAATTGTCATCTATTGTGTTGTTCCTGCAGGGGAGATGGTTGTAGGCTACCGGTACAACATGACCAACTCTACTGGAGGAACGGTGTCCGAACTGACCCCGGAACAACGACGCTTGCTTACCAATGAACTTAACAGAGAACTCCAGAGAGTGCCTCAGTTCCGATGGAATGGGGTCACGGTGTACTCTGGTTCCTTAGGTGATCTCAGAAACCTGGGTATTACCTATGGCATTGATATTACTGGAAGAGTCACGGGTACACAAAACATCGTTGATGTCATTGAAGCATCGTGGACAAATACCAATCCTGGTAAAAAAACGTTTTCTTACAAACTGTAAATATTTATGAATGAACACAAGTCATGAAATGTGGACGTATGTTAATTATACCAAACTGTTTTTGCCATGTTGAAGTATGTTTAAATGAAGGATATCAATAGAATATAGTCTTGAAACACAATGGCAAACATTTCATTCCGAATTGACACAACTGGAATTGCCTGTATGTAAGTATTACTTATCATTCGTAACTTACAACTTAGCGTTAATCATGTTGTGTTGTCTTGTGTCATGTTGTGTTGTATTGTCTTGCTGTAGCATTTTCTTTCCCCCTGTCAACATGACTTAACCCTTTCATTCCTCATGTCCTTTGTACATCCACCTCCACCATTTCATGACCATCTGATCTGTTTATATTCCATTTTCGTTTCATTTCCTACATTGCTTTTGTCTTGTACTCGTTTGTGATTTATGTGACTACAGTGTTGTCTATCAGTCTAATTAATATCTAATGTCAATTCTACTTTGACAGATTGTGGTTGCCAGTTCAAAGCTGATATCTTTCTAACAAAACAACTCTCCGGCGATTATGGGTAAACTTTGTACTTACACATTGAATCTAAATGAATGTTGGGTCGTTATCTACCTTTCCAGAACCAAGAAGAAGATTCCTGGTTTTGTAGTCAACCCTAAATTTAATCATCAAAAATTACTCAATATACATTAAAAGTACACAATTCTACAACTGTAATTGATTCTTTTATAAACAAAACCGACCACATTTGAAATATGTTTACAACATGGTGAAATGACATAACTTCTCACAATGATTGTAAATAGAATGATTGTAACAAATTCTATTGATATTTAACGAAGTTTATTTATGATTATTAGTTTTTTTACCTTTTCAATACTTGTATGAAATAATCATAATGGTTTGCCCCATTTCCAGCATGGTTGTAACCAGAGTATATTACACCATCACTCGAGATGGACAGACCCAGAATGCTGAGAGTGTACCTCCACCTTCTCGGGAAGTGATCTCTGCAGCTATAGACAATGACAAGAGAATAAACCCTCTGTACTATGGGTCCACCCCAATTCCCTATGACCAACATCACAGTGTGGTGCTCAACAGGGTTGTGGATATGACCAGTGAACAGGGCCAGGGGGTAGTACGCACATTGCAGACAGAATGGAAGAAGTGGCAGAACACAGACAGTACAGGTACGTAAGAAATGGTTCGACTGGAAACAAAGGGTGACTGGGGCTGTTGACAAAATACGTGTTTCAAGATACAGATTAAATAATCTTAGGTAGAATCGTGTTAATTGTCAGAATTCTTGAACGGTCAGTTTTATTTATCTCGACTGAACAAATAAACTAAGGAGGTTCCAGCGTTTTAAGGGAGAGGATTGTGAATTTCATGATTTGGAACAACCTTAATGATTTTAAAATGCTGATAAATATGACTTTTGAATTGATAATGTTTAATAATTAGTTTCATGTGATTGTTTTTGTCTCGTGTATTCCAAGTGATGAATGTACATGTGCGATTATTTATTCAGTTCCAGATAATTTACGTGCCCAGCCTTTGGAAATTCTGCTATTGCGACCTCAGAAATACTACACACAGGCTGGGTTAGTATTACTGATAAAAACACCCATGTTATTGGTATAAAACTTCAACATGTGTTCCTCTTTAAGTAAAGTAAGGTATCACGAACAATAAAAATTCCAAGAAGAAGATCAGTTCTTTCTACTGACGCAGACACCTATAAGTTACTGGCAAACAAGGATAAGTTGAGCACTGACCTGACAATTGACCCGTATTAGCATGTATGAGTGCCGCCCACTGGCGCTTGTCATTGTGAGCGAAGGGGCCCCAGGTTGTCCGCGATCAAGTGTAGTGCGACTTGCTACACTGACGTGAGAGTCTTATGAGCAAGGCGTGTGCATCTACGCACAGAATCAATTTCATCCTCATGAACTGCATGTGCACAAGCCTACATCTGCTCTACCTTTCACAAACCAAATGGGTTTTTCTCATTGCCGTGCACCACCTACTTCTCGTAAACACGTTCTCTGCGCCATTCCAACTTATCCTTGTTTGCCAGTAGTATAACTATGTTTTACCACTATAATTCCCATATTCAGAGTGTATCATCATAAAATGTACTTACTTGAATAGGGATATCAAACATATTTTTTTACTCACTCTATTGCCTCTTCACCACTCAGCACTACCGTGACCAACGTTGAATATTTCGTCAAACTGGGTGAGCGATACCTGATTGGACCCGACATCAGCATCAATCTGTCAGGAGGAATCTTCTGTGATTGTGATGCTATCCCTGTACCATTCTTGGATGTGAAAGGGCAGCTACAGTGGTCGAAGTTGCTTGAGTTGGGAACTAGCCTTAACCCTGCAGGTAAACCATTTTATCCTGGTGAGTCTGTTTCACTTCTAGAAGTTATCCCAAGACTACATATACCATTGGGTGGGTCAGGGAGGCACTGGTGGCCAAGTCATCTATGGCACTTAGGCTGCCAGAATCCTATGATTGTTGATTCAAATCCCAGATTTGTTTACCAATGTCCATTGGTTTCACAAAAGGTATACTCGTCTAAGACCTGTACCATTCCAGACTCTCTCCCTAATAAGCTTGCAACGGAAACAACTGAAACATTTCAAACACCTATATGATATATGTGTATGTGTTTTTAGCAACCATGATGTAACAACTGTATAAAACGATGGTGTATTTGTTTCAGACACTACTGGCTCCACTGTGGAGAGACATATGTTCTCTGAAGGGAACGGGTAAGTTGTTCGGTTTCCTTGTTTGAATGGCGACAGGAAGTCATATGGTTAATCTGCAGAGGTGTTGTCATGTCAGTCAGCTAGACTCTCAGTCGGCTATACTCTCAGTCAGCTATACTCTCAGTCGGCATACTCTCAGTCGGCTATACTCTCAGTCAGCTATACTCTCAGTCGGCATACTCTCAGTCGGCTATACTCTCAGTCAGTTATACTCTCAGTCAGCTATACTCTCAGTCGGCTATACTCTCAGTCGGCTATACTCTCAGTCGGCTATACTCTCAGTCGGCATACTCTCAGTCGGCATACTCTCAACTGTCAGCTCAGTCGGCTATACTCTCAGTCGGCTATACTCTCAGTCAGCTATACTCTCAGTCAGCTATACTCTCAGTCGGCTATACTCTCCACTTTCATTTGGTTAACATGTTGTTTGTTTCCAATGTTCTGAACAAGGTTTCCAACAGTTTTGCTTCACATAACAAGGTGAGGTGAGGTGAGGTGAGGTGAGGTGAGGTGAGGTGAAATTGGGTTTTACATCGTGCTTGAGAATATTTCGCTCCTATAACGACGTGCATGCGTGTGTATGTGTATGTGCGGCTGCTTGTACTAGCCCAGACTTAAGTTGTTTTTTTCATAGTGCTAGCCCACTGAGATACCATGCCGCAGTGAAGCATGAATACCCCACTCAGACACATTATACTGACTCCCAGCCGACCAGTCCTTGTTGTACCCATTAAAGCCGAGCGCCAGGCAGGGACCAACAAGTACCATATTTTAACATCTTTTGGTATGACGCGGTCGGGGATCGAACCTACGACCTGCCGCTCTCCGGGCGGACGCTCTAACCACTACACCACGGAGGCGGTCTCACATAACAAGGACATGGTTTTATCATTCTTAGCAGTAATAGTTGTCACCAGTTTGACGTGTATGATAGTTAATTGGCCATGATACTTTTGTCTTCATGAGGTGCATCCTCCCAAGAATGTACAATGAACACTGTGTTTTTTTCTTGTACCAGGGAACCAGTTACACGGGTGTTCTACAGACCGACAATAGAGAATGGAAACGTTCAATCAACCGCACTGTCTCCAGATCAGTTGGACGAAATTTTAACCAATCACAACCTTGAACGCCCTTCACTTCCAGTGAAGAAAGTATTCACCTTTAATTTTGATGGCAGCCTCGGTGATGACCAGGAAAGTGTGGTTGCAGACGGTCTACTGGCCACTTGGAGTAAGTTATTTAGTCAGAAATGGTAGAAAGGTGGTTTCACCAGTGGTTACTCCTTAAACTCAACGTACAGGACGAATATATGAACATATGAATAAATATAACATAAAATCATTTCCATAATTATAAACAGTGTGCGAAATAGTTTCCAAATGTTGCTAGGCAGTCAGTTGGGCTAGCTATGCCTGAAAGTTACTAGCCCACCGAAATTTGAATGTAGACACGGGTTTCATCATTAAGCTGCTAGTATGATATACATTTTTACTATGCCACAGTCTTGCATGATTAAAAAGTGTATTATAGCTTAACAAGTCGGAGAGAGTGATATATTTACAAAATGACCCCATGAAAATTCACTAGCCAGTCGGGCCAGTGACTTTGGAAATTGAGTGGCCCGACTGGATATTTACTAGACACGGGCTAGCGGGGCAGTGGCTATTTCGCACACTGATTATAAGAGACGTCAGCACTCACAAAAGGGGAAAATGTACGGATGTCAGCTTATATATTGTGAGAAGCACAGCGTTTTCCTGTATCTTCTTCCAGATGAAATGATTACTCTTACTCATTCCTCTACAGATGAATAAGTCAATTTACTCGAAATTGACATGTTTCTCATAAACATTGGTGTGTCCAACTGGAACATTAAGGAATGACTAATCCCTATATTTTATTTTGTGCAGGCAGCAGTCTTGGGATCCCCACAGAGAATGTCTCCGTCATGGTCAATGATATTAATGACAATTTCTATAGTACTACAAGGTATGGCAGTCATTGTATCGTAATAATGCTACTTTGAATTAAGTGCAGTCGACCTGTGACGGTCTGGATTAGAACTGATCTTCATGCAGTAGCCCATGCTTGTCGTACAAGGTGACTAACAGGATCAGGTGGTCAGGCTAGATGACTGAGTTGAGACATGTCATCGTATCCCAGTTGCATAGATCAATGTTCATACTGTTGATCCCTGGATTGTCTGGTCCAGACTCGATTATTTACAGACCGCCGCCATATAACTGGAATATTGCTGAGTGCTGCGAAAACTAGACTCACTCACTCACTCACTCACTCAGATTTGGTCGATAATGTGTTTGTCGCATTTGTCACAGACAAATAAGGAGCATGATTAATGTATAAGAGTGTACTCATGTCAATGTGTCTTCCTGAAGCAGCTGGGTGTTCTTTAACTTATTCTGGCATGACAGATGAACTGGGGCGGTTAAAGCGTTGGCTCATCATGCTGAAGACCCAGGTTTGATTCCCCACATGGGTACAATGTGTGAAGCCCATTTCTAGGGGCCCCCACCATGATATTGCTGGAATATTGCTAAAAGCGGCATAAATCTAAATTCACTCCCTCCCCAATCAGCATTATAGGTATACTTTGACCATGATGATATATAGTATGACCAGAAATTATTGAGAATTTTAGGAATATGTTCAATTGGATTTCTAGTATAAACAACCTTGACCAGCTATCAAGTGCTTGGGTTCATTCAAGAGAGACAACTCCGTTAATCCTTTTTCATTAGTTTGTGAAGAGTTATCCCTCTTTGTTTACTTGCTAGCAGACGACATTTTCAGTGATCCTCAGTATGGATGATTTAGAGAAGAGGAAGTTGATTTTAGAGTATTATAACAAGGACATCAGATCAGCTAAAGTGATTTCAAGTAGAACAGGCATCCCTTTGTCCACGGTTTATCGTGTTTTGAAAAATATTGCAAATGGATATGGCATTGAGCACCAGGGAGGCGCAGGTAGGCCCAGAAAATTGACTGTCGGTGACAGGAGGCGGCTTGGTATTCTTGTTTCTAAAAACAAACGAAGGAGTTTAGAAAACTTAAGGCTGGATATGATTGATAGAGGAACTGTGGCTGTCTGTAAGGAGACAATTAGAACTGAGCTACATGCAATGGGTTGGCAGAAAAGTCAAGGAATTCCATCACCGATCATGAAACCTGAACAAAAGTAGCGAAGGTTGAACTGGTGCTTTCAGCATAGAAATTTTAACTGGGACAATGTGATTTTCTCAGATGAAAGTTCTGTGTGGCTGTTTCCTAATACACTGAAATTCTGGACCAAACAAACTGAAAAACCTTTGTATCAGCGCCCAAGGTACAGTCCGAAATTTAACATGTGGGGTGGCATATCTGTGTTAGGGGCAACGCCCCTCTGTGTATTTGAAGGAAATATGAACATTGAGCGGTACACAGATATTCTCGAGGGACATTTACTTCCATCTGCTCACGTGTTCTATGGAAATTTTGGATTTTCCAGCAGGACAACGACCCAAAACATTGTTCAAAGCATTCACAGGCCTGGTTTCTGACCAAAACTTGACATTATTAGATTGGCCAAGCTATAGCCCTGACCTAAATCCAATAGAAAATGTTTGGGGACTTATGAAGGAAAATGTCAATAAGAAAAATCTGACAAATTTTGCTGAAATGAAAGAAGAGGTGGTCCGATATTGGGACAGCATGGACCACACGACTTTCTAACTTCTTTGATCAGTAGTATGTCCCGCCGCATTGAAGCCTGCATTGCTGCCCATGGTGACTTGACAAAATACTAACTGTTCACCTGTCTTTGAATCTGGAGTTATGTTCTGCTAATATTCACATTTGATACGTGAGTAATGAATGAAAAAAAAATAAAAGTACAATCTTTAAATTCTCAATAATTTCTGGTTGTACTGTTTATAGTGAATATTGGAGGGGAATTGGTTTATTCTGCGTTAGCTGAGATTACACAACATATATATATTTTCGCTATATATGTAAGTGAGAAACCATGACTAACTGGGAAAATATGTTCACTCAACACTTATTGTTCTCAGTGATGACCAAGTGACCCAGGTCAAGTACAATGTGGCCATTCAGAGAGGTGACTCCCACTGGACGCGGTTTGAAGGGGTGGACACTGGAATGTTGGGGGAGAAATTCAGTTCCACCGCTGGACTTACCCCCTGTGGGTGCTCAGCTCGAGAGGGCCGTGAGATAATGGTAACAGGCGTCGTTGGTAACGATACTACCGACCTCGAAAATGCTCTCACTAAAGCCTGGATGCAAGCCAACCCAGGTAAGCAAAGCTGACTGTTGTTATGAAACTATATAATTCTATAATGTATTCCTACCATGTCACCAAGAATGTTTGTTATTAGAGCATTATTACCCCCCGTCACGAAGTGGGAGGGGGATATACGAGGGGACAGATTTTCTCAAAAAACGTTATAAATAAGGAAACAAAATTTTGGTATGTGTTTTTAGGGCATGAATCCCTTCATGGAGTTTGGAAACAGAAACTGAATTACAATTTGTTACAAAGTTATGTCTTCACTTGTGCACGGTATCCCCAATGGGAACAGATTTTCTCAGAAACTGTTATAGATAGGGAAACCAAACGTGGTATGTGTTTTCAGGACATGAATGTTGTGGTGGAATTAAAAAACAGGAACCAAATAGGAACAGAACTCTGTGGCGGGGGATATTGATGACCATGTCTTCTTGTTATATCTGACTGTAAATATAAACAACAAAACATTTCTATGATCATGAGACATTTCCAAGGAAACCAGAGTCCATTGTGCAGTTCGACTGTATCATCAGCATGTGTATTTAAATGGTGATAATATCAAGTAGCACGGTCACACAAATATGCAAAATTCACCTGGAAAATATGCACACGTGAAAATCAAGTTCAAGTCACAGTTGGGATTTGCATCCACAGTAATTTTTTATATTGAAATTTGAAAAATGTGTAAATACGTTAATATGTTTATAGTTTTGGATAATGAAATTTGGAAAAATGTGTAAATACGTTAATATGTTTATAGTTTTGGAGAATAATCCTTTTCCCTCCGTGTGTGAATTATGAGTACATCTCATCTCCTTGTATGTTAATACTTGATTTTATCTGTTTTCAGATTATACTGGTACGTTGTCAGTGGGAATCAAGCAGGTCGAAGGGTAAGTAAAACGGTTATCAACCTTACCGATGTATTAATGTGAAACTATGCTGACCCACAAGCCTTGGTATACTGCAACTAGAAGAGAGTTTGAATCAATCACAAAGATGGCAGTGGATCCTGATAGTGATTCGTCTGTATCCCAATAATTCCGATCCGTATGGGTAGGGTTCATACATGATTTCCAAAATGAGAGTGTAAACAAAATAACCTAATTACAAAAGGTAATACGATGTTTGTAGCAGTGTATATTCCCTACAAAAGTGCTCATGTTTCACTGATCATAATTAGACATTATAGAATTCCTTACCATGAAATTATTTGCCTCACAGGGACGCACCGACCAAACTCCGGTATATTGTGACTCCAACCGGCGGTCCAGCCGCCTTTACAGAGAATGACCTGACAACGCCACAAGATGCACTCATAGGAAACGAAATATCACCCTTAGATTTAACAGTTTACAAAGGCGAGAATGATGATGATTCAGATACGGTGAGTTTGACAGTACCTCTGAACATACTGAAATTTTATATTTCTTATAATTCTTATTATATTCTTCCTCAATTTCTATTTTTATTCCAATCCATTTTAAAGCTTCTGTTTATTCATATATAGCTCAGAAGTTATAGCGTTCGCTCGTCATGCCAAACACCCAGATGGGTGCCCCTTTATGGTGTCCCCTGCCGTGATATTGCTTTAATATTGCTAAAAGCACTCACTCACACACTCACTCTTTCCCACTTATACAGAACGATGTAAACTATTGTAATTATATTTCAGCTTTATGATCGTGACCCTTGTAGTGGACAATACACATCAATATTGACTGGTATCTTCTCCCTTTTCAGTCTGACTGGGCCATACCACTTGGGATCGTCCTCGGGCTACTGCTACTGTTGATTATCATCATAGTGATTGTGCTGGTGATACGGAATAGAAGGTAAGTAGTCCCCAATCATAGAATTCTTCACCTGCTTCGCCTGTAGCTTGTTCTGCTTTGAATAACTGTTAGTCTTCGGGCCTCCTCCATAGCACTTTAACTTGGAATCGAGAGTTCACCTCAATCTGGATATCTTTGAGGTGTCTTTTTGTGTCTGCAGCATGGAAGTGAAATGTCACTCACATAGTCACATTTGTTTAGAAGTCTACTGTCACATTTCGTAAAAGTTGCTTTCACGTGCATGGTAATGCCTAGCGGTGCTTCTTCGAGATGTCATTCTGGGCTCCATTGTACAAAGTGACCTTAGCACTAAGGTGATCGTAACTCCCATACCTTAACATAGACTTACAATTGGCGTAGTGCTAAGGCTGCTTTGTTCAATGGGACCCTTATCTGTAAAATTCAGAAAGAGGAAGCCATTTTATCTTATTCAGGGGGTCATTCCCTGCTATGGCTTCCTGTCCTGCTTGCAACTGCGCATGCACAAACAGCTTCCGCTTCCTGTTTCAGACACCGGATGTCGCATACGCTTAAACAGAAACCCGAAGAATTAAACGGCTATGACAAACAGCATTTCTCAGACGAGCCCCACTTTAATAACCCCACCTTTAATATGGAAGATCCAGAAATCTCGGATGGAAAACAAAGAACCTATATCGTTAACGAGGAACAAACAATGGAAGATATCAAATTAGATAGAAGCACATGACGTCATATACATGATTCACAATGATTGTTTGTGAGTAAATATATGCATTCTCTACAGAGAAAATATGTTTCGACCTGAAAGGGTGCATTTTGGTTCTTATCAGTGTATTATATTTCAATGCAGTTATTATTCCATTTGGTATTCATACCCTTCCTCTGTATCGTATTACAAGTTTACGGAATAGATACGTCGGTTATTGATATTATATGATATATACATTTGCACGTTGAATTTCATATATATTACGTGCTCAACTACGTTCTAACCACTGCTTGTAGTTATATATTTCATCACTTTTTTACAGGCACGCTGAAGCTATGAAATAACCACACCGCATAGTACTTATTCTTTGTAGGCAAACATTACTCCAAATCGTGGACAACTGAAAGAGTTTTTTCTGTAATAATGTAACATCCTTATAAGGAAATCTTTGAAGAAATCTGTTCCATATCTAAGGCAACATGGCCAAGAGTAAAATGCATAAGATAAGAGATTGTACAAAGATCAATACAAGAGACGATTTTGAATATGCCACTTTGGTTATTATCTCATGAAAAGAATACATTTAAATTAACATCTAGACAGTATTATGGAGTGTCCATTGTTTAATATTCATCATCATTATGGAATGATATTTTACATTGATAAGCTACATTGTATATAGCTATGTATATATTAATTTATTGTAGGAGACGACAAGCTCGAACGATTGAAAATGATGCCTCAAAATTTCAAAAAAGGTCTTACGACAAGGAGCACTTTACCACCAAGCCTGTTTATTTTGAAAACGATGTGTACTCGGAATCACAAGGATTTTATGTAGTTAATGAAGATAACGGTAAAAGCAGCCTTTAACTGACAATGCCAACATGATCTGATACTATCATCTTGTTTTTCTCAACAAATTACATTTAGCATTATATTTCCAATGTTCCACATTTCTCTATTGTATGTTTTGTTTAACATGACTTTTCATAATCTTTTTTTCACGAATGAGTCATATATTGAAAACAATTATGTTTATTCATATTTTATTACTGCAGTGGTTTCGTTCGTAATGTGAAATATGTTCAAATAGAAGGAATTACGAAACTTGTTCTTTTGTAAATTGTTAGTCATCCTCCAAATGAACGCTGGCCGTTCCCTTGATGTCAATGATTGTTATCTAGTCTACATGTATAATACATTGTACATATGTTTGTAAATATCCCCGAGCTTTTTCTAACATAAACCAATTTTGTAACATGTTCTTAGTTTGTATTTCTTATATCATAACATTATAATGGAGACTATTCAGTAGCCCATTTGGCAAAGCGTTCGCTGGTGACGCTCGAATTGGGTTCTGTTCCCATGGCTGTCGCGTGGTGTGTGATAGTGTTTTATTCTTTGATGCCGCACTCAGCAATATTCCACCTATATGGCGGCGCTCTGTAAATAATCGAATCTGGACCAGACATTCCAGTGATTAACACCATAAGCATCGATCTAACTGATGACATTTGTCAACCAAGTCAGCGAACCTGACCACACGATCCCTTCCTCTTTTACAAGCATGGGTTGCTGAAGACCAATTCTAACCCGGATGTTCACGGGTCTACGACCATCTGTCAGTAATCTACTCTGAAACACATATACCAATGACTTCCACGTAGTTGGGATACGATGACATACATTCAACCAAGTCAGCAAGTCAGGTCTCACTTCTTACAGTTTATAATCAGTTTCGGCCCGGGGTCATGCCACATTTGACATTTAGGAGGACAACTCACAGAGGTCCAACAAGGATGAAGGGCAAGAGCATAGCGGACATAATTTTAAATAGCTGCCGACTTACGTGTTAACAGCCCATAGGCCATGGGAACACGTGTCCTTCGACCACAGCATAAGATCTGCCAGGCATGGAGCTATGTCTCATCTCAGAATACAATATCAAAACTAGAAAGGGGAAGTGTTTACAGATGCCAATTTCTGTAATGTGAAGAACAGGAAGTAGATGAATATTTCTTGCTGCTTCATCAGCTGATGAAGGTCAGGCGATGAAGGAGTAAGACTACGTTCCGAGATGTAGCTGGAACATTCCTGAATGCCGCGATGAACAACAAACAAACAAAACACTCAAGGTGCGCAGATGTCTTGTATCTGTGGTTAAGCTCCGGTCACATACAGAAGAGTGAGTGAGTGACTTAAATATTACATCACATCGGCAATTTTTCGGCCATATAGTGACGAGAAACATTTGTTTTAACTATAACATACGAAAGAGAGACTGACATATTGAGAGACGTATCATACAACAACCTCACAGTAACATACATAAAAAACATTATGAGCATACAAATCCCTTCATGAATGTATACAGTGTATATGAAATGTTTGCATAAATTTGGTTTACAGAGAAAGTGTTAATCATGAACAAGAATATACGAAAAGCCGAGATAGTACATTGTGGTTAACGTTCGTATATACACCTGCACATCTGTGTACATATAATGCATGGCTACAAGACTTACCTAATATTCAAACTCTCCGTAATATGTACATCCTCATGACATTTACATATTGAGCGAGGAAATCTATCTTGACACCGCACTAGCAATTTTGCAGTTATTTGCGGCGAGCATTTACATGTTGACGATAAGTGGCGACTGACGGGGACCTTGTGGTCAGGGTCGCTGACTTTGTTGACACATGTCATTGTATCCCAATTGCGTAGATCGATGGTCATGATGTTGATCACTGGATTGTCTGGTCCTGACTCGATTATATACAGACCGCTGCCATACAGCTGGAATATTGCTGAGTGAGGCGTTAGACAACATAGAGAATTTTCTGTGTTTCATCTTTTTATTGTTTGGTACAACGTTTGGTACAACGTTTCAGGGCTTGTTCTGGCCCCATCATCAGGTAGAACTAAAAGGTTTAGTTGATAATGGGGCCAGAACAAGCCCTGAAACGTTGTACCAAACAATAAAAAGAAGATGAAACACAGAAAAGTCTCTATGTTCAAACAAACAAAACATACTGACGAAACAACCAATAACCAAATACATCTTGATTTTACATTTACTGACACCGAAAGCACTGCATTGCATCGTATCAGGATGTTACATAAAACGTGAATATCCCTTCTCGTTAAAATAGAATTGTACTACCATATTGGAGCAATGATTGTTTAACCGTCTTGGAAAATGTGCACTCCACTTCTGTACCAGCACTATCAGTATTCCAGTGACCAATCTTCACGCTCTGAGCCCCCTTTTCAAGCTATGCCAAAATACATCCCTCCCTTCCGTGTCATCTGTGAACTCGACATAAGAGTCCTTCCTCATCACCTCCACTATATCCACGGGAAGATCCTTCACAGGAATATCCTCCATCAACACAATCAACAAGGTGTTCCGCCCAGCGTAGATACTTTCCATCTTGGCCATCTCCAGTTCGTATCTACACCAGTGGCTCTTCAGAAAGTTCCTGGTTAGGATCACCACGGTCTTTCTGCTGGTACTGATGGCTTTCAGGATGTTAGCAGCAATGGCTTCTCCTGGGAGGAAGTCTCTGTGATGGATACACAGACTCATGTCGTCCTGGTCTTCAAGCACCTCCCGCATTTCCCTTACAACGAATCCGCGGTCCTCATCAGCATACGAAATGAAGGCATCAAATTCGAATTCGTGGTCGACATCCTGAGCGGGGAGGTACCCGCGATGTCGATTTCTCATCACGTAGTACAGATACCTGAGCTTCCACCTGTATCTGAACAAAACGCCTGCTATCGATAGAGCCATTACTAACATGACAATGGTGAGGATTCCTATCATTAATCCTACATATGAAGCACATGTTTTTTCAAGTTGAAGGACGATGTTACGAATGTTCGTTAGATTTATATTCTTATCATTGAATGTGCATTCCAAACCTTGCATGTTAACAAACCTATTTGAATTCTTATTTATCCATTGCAGTGACTTTAAAGTGAGACAGTTACATTGCAAGGAATTACCTTGAAAATCAACCCTCAGGTGCTTGCTGTTCAGCTGATCAATTTGCGATGCCAAACTTATTGGAAAGTCAACAAATAAGTTGTGTGAGATATTCAGGGTCGTTAAATTATGCATATTTTCAATGGTAGCATTCCATGATACAAGATCGTTGTAACTAAGGTCTAAATACTTGAGGGACCTTAGTAAAATGAAATTAGAAATTGTCAGATCCTGGATTTTGTTATCTGTCAAATCTAGATGCTCTAAAGTACTAAGGTTAAACTGTAGATCCTTCATTGGAAAACCAAGAAAATTTGTCCCCAGTTTCAGCGTTTTCAGCCTGCTGACGCTTTTAAAAAGTGAATTATTTACATAGTCACAGAAATTGTGAGAGAGATCTAAGTATTCAAGGCTTCCAAAACCTCTAATTGGTCCTTCCCATTTTGTAAATAGATTATGAGACAGATCAAGTTTAGTTAAGTTGGAATTGCAAAATCGTACGTTCCTGATATGGAGGTTGAATTTGGACCTGCTGAAATTGGCAAATGTAAGCTTCTGAGGTAGATGAAATAGACAGCCTGATTGGATCAAATTCGGGATAGAATCCCACCGTTTCCTGGCTACATGGGCAACAGTTTCATGTGAAATACCCGAAATTTGTTCTATCTCATCCGAAGTAAAACAAGTTGGCTCTGTTCTTAACTTTTGTAGATGCATGTTGTTTGCATTCCGACGGAACAGATCAGCTGTTGAAGCTCCTTGTCCTGAAAGGTCTGCCCATTCAATCTTTGTCAGTGCCTGACCCGTAAGAACATATGGACCAAACAAGTATAAATTCTTTCTTCCTGAAAGTCTCTTTAGATGAGAAAGAAGCCCAGTTATACCCATGTCAAGTACTTCTATGCGATTGTCATCGATGTGCAGTTCTTCTAATGTTATGTATTTAAGAGAAGCAAAGTCTTTGCACTCCAGGGCAATTCCTGTTCCACGATGCCTGTGTAGCCGATTTGCCTTCAGAATCCTAACCGTTTTGTTTCTAAGTCCATACATTGCTTGACCAAAACGAATCAGTCCAAGGTCCACATTGTCAGAAACATCTAAATAACGTATGTTATTGCTTAAGGGCGAGAACGAAGAGTGTTCTACGTAGATGATTCCACAATTCACAAGAGAAAGACTTTGCACACTCGGCAAGTAGGTAAAACTGTCATTTCGGACTGTGCCAATATCACATGTTCCCTCCAGAAGTAGTGACGTGAGTTTTGTGAGATTCTTGAAGCCTTTCCCAAATACGAAGTTTTGCAAACCATCGATGTGTAGTTCCGTTAAGTTGGTAAGGTCACTGAACACGGTGTCAGGATAATTGTAGCCGCTGTTGCAGTCAGTGTTACTTTGGAGAAACAATTGTCGTAACATCTTCTGATTCCTGAAGAGTCCTACAGGATAGGATCGATCCGACAATGGCATCTGGTTATGTTGAAGGTCCAATGTCTGCAGACGTATCAAGTGCTGGAAGACATCTCGGTCCAGGAATCTAAGCTTGTTGTATGATATATTCAGTGCTGTAAGGTCTCCGTAGGAATCAAAGGATGTCTTTATCAGCTCATGAATTGAGTTGTGAGCGAGATCTAGAGTTTGGATTCCTTTAGGCAGGGTTTTCGGGACGGTGGTTAGGTGTCGTGAGGAACAGTTCACGTGCGTATGTGAGCATGTGCAAGGTTCACAAGAGTCGAGATCACCACGCTCACCGCCAACAGCAGCGGCTCCAGAATGCAGAAGGAATGCAACCCACATCAACTGTAAAAACATATTTCATTCACATAAAAACAATTATATTATATATACTCCTAAATAGACGTTATATATAACACACGACTTCTAGAGTTAATGTTTCATCTCATGCAGATTTGACCATCTCATTTTAATTATACACTCAAAAATTGCAGTCTATCACATTACCATAGTCAATATGTCATGGCATGACAACCATCGGTGTCGCCATGTCACTCCCTTTATGTACGTAGTTTTAACATACCAGTATGTTTGGGTATGATCGGCACGTTTGGACCAATGTTTAGACATTGACCTTGGGTTCAGGCGGTGCTTGTTAATGTTCATGCGCATATTATTAAAGGTAAACGCCAGATCATAACTACAAATTATAATAAGTTATCTGCCGAAACAGTTTCCGCTGGGCGAAAAAGCAAACTACAGTCCGTTTGATTTCAGTTTAGACCGATGAATTGTTCACCAACACAAAATCTATTAATTGCCACAAAACCAAATTTTGCATAGTCACATGAAATCGACAGACCAAGTCTGATGATTTGTCTCATCGGTAATCACTCGACTTGTCTGTTGGACACCCGAATAAAAAAGTTGTTTTACAAACGATCACTATTTTGTTGTCACTTTTCGCTATCTTGTACGAGGGAGGACCACTTGCTGGTAGAACAGCAAGGTGTCCGAGTTGCACCTGTGAAGTTGTGTGAAACTGACACACGTAACGCCTTGTGTGAAACTGGCACACGTAACGCATTGTGTGAAACTGATGACACACGTAACGCCTTGTGTGAAACTGGTGACACACCTAATGCCTTGAGTGAAACTGACACACGTAATGCCCTGTGTGAAACTGATGACACACGTAACGCCTTGTGTGAAACTGATGACACACGTAACGCCTTGTGTGAAACTGATGACACACGTAACGCCTTGTGTGAAACTGATGACACACGTAATGCCTTGTGTGAAACCGATGACACACGTAACGCTTTATGTGAAACTGATGACACACCTAACGCCTTGTGTGAAACTGATGACACACGTAACGCCTTGTGTGAAACTGATGACACACCTAATGCCTTGTGTGAAATTGATGACACACGTAACACCTCGTGTGAAACTGATGACACAGGTAACGCCTTGTATGAAACTGATGACACACGTAACGCCTTGTGTGAAACTGATGACACACGTAACGCATTGTGTGAAACTGATGACACATTTAACGCCTTGTGTGAAACTGGTGACACACCTAATGCCTTGTGTGAAACTGACACACGTAACGCCTTGTGTGAAACTTACACACGTAACGCCTTGTGTGAAACTGATGACACACGTAACGCCTTGTGTGAAACTGATGACACACGTAACGCCTTGTGTGAAACTTACACACGTAACGCCTTGTGTGAAACTGATGACACACGTAATGCCTTGTGTGAAACTGATGACACACGTAACGCCTTGTGTGAAACTGATGACACACGTAACGCCTTGTGTGAAACTGATGACACACGTAACGCCTTGTGTGAAATTGATGACACACATAACACCTTGTGTGAAACTGATGACACAGGTAACGCCTTGTGTGAAACTGATGACACACGTAACGCCTTGTGTGAAACTGATGACACGTAACGCCTTGTGTGAAACCGATGACACGCGTAACGCCTTGCGTGAAACTGATGACACACGTAACGCCTTGTGTGAACCTGATGACACACGTAACGCCTTGTGTGAAACTGATGACACACGTAACGCCTTGTGTGAAACTGATGGCACACGTAACGCCTTGTGTGAAATGTCTTTAGAAGGTTTGAGGCGGTGGGGTAGCCAAGTGGTTAAAGCTTTTTCCTTCCTTCTTATGCATTGCGAAGATTGCGATTGTGCGTGTGTGTGTGTGTGTGCGTGCGTGCGTGCGCGCGAGTGTGTGTGTGTGTGTGCGTGCGTGCGTTTGGTGGTGATTTTAAGGGGGGTTGGGGTGTCACCTATTTTGTTCTTGGGTGTGTGGGGTAGGGGAAGGACATCAATTTTGTACACATGTATAGGGGAGTGTCATTGATTTTGTCCATGACGTGGAGGGGAGCTCACTTACTTTGTACATTAATTTTAGGGAGGGAGAGAGGGGGTCATTCACATTGTACATGCTTCTCCATAAAAACCATCATCACACCCACACCCACCCCACCCGAGCCCACCCTAGCCACATATTATGACCCGTCCCTTAGTAGCCGACCTAAACCCTTCCCGTAGTACCAACCAGGCGCCGCCGGTGACGTTTACACTTGTTCGGTATAACATAAATGGCATCTGACAGGCACGAATGTAGTAATCTCTACATCTTGCATTTTTACACATTCTTAAGTCGCACCGATTTTGCATCGAATCGACATGTTTTGTCCATTCCCATAAGCACCCGTGAAGATCCGGGTTAAAACTGATCTTCAGTAACCAATGCCTGTTGTAAAGGGCGTCTAACGGGATCGGGTGGTCAAGCTCGCTGTCTTGGTTGACACATGTCATCGTATCCCAATTTCATAGATCGATGCTAATGATGTTGATCACTGGAATGTCTGGTCCAGACTCGATTATTTACTGACCGCTGTCATATAGCTATAATATTGCTGAGTGACGGCATAAAACTAAACTCACTCACTCACCCATTGCAATAATCATGGTGCCGACAATGAAAACTAGATTAGACTAAGAACGTTTATCAACACTAAAAAATCGTAAACATTCGACACAGACGTAAGTGAGTTCGCGATAAATTACAATCAGGAAATAATCTAATAATCGTGGACGGGTCAGGTGTTTAAGAAATGAACTCAAAAAATTAAAAACTTGACACTTGTTATATTGAATCCCACAATGGAAGTGTATAAATTATAATGAAATAGATATGCATCATACAGCTATTAACCAGCGCGAGCTTAAACATGTATGAAACTGTTCGAACAGAAGAAGTCAATAACGAGTCTGATGAGGGCGACCGTGACCTCATGAACAGGAGAGTGAGTGAGTTGGGTTTTACCCCGCTTTAAGCAATATTCCAGCAATATCACGGCGGAGGACACAAGACATGGGCGTTACACATTGCACCCATGTGGGGAATTGAACCCGGATTTTCAGTGTGATGAACGGATGCTTTAACCATTACCCCACCTTCCCATGGACAGGAGAACCTGTCGGAACACTCTAACGTCGCCGCCATTGGTAAATGTGTGTTTGCCCAAGTTTTTGCAAAGGGTTGATTCGTCTTCCTAGCTTATCCCAAATGTTCGATTCTGGGAAACGGAAAAGCCAGTCCATGACATCGGCGTTAGGTAAGTAGTTGCGCGTCAGAGCTCCAGTTGGGCGTAACGTTGTCATGTCAAAATATTAGTCCAGGGTGCCGTTGTTCAAAACAATCTTAGCGCTAAGACTACCTTAAGTCTATGTTAAAGTATGGGAGTTACGTTCACCTTAGCACTAAGATCGCTTTGTACAACGGCACCCCGGACCATTTACAATATTTGATAAACGTTATGGAGATCAACTTCTTCTGTTTTGTGAGTGCGACGTTTCGATACAGATTCTTGTACCATTGAACTCAAGCCCTCAAAGAAGCAGGACCATGTAGCGTCATGGATGGCAGGACTTGAGTCAAAACCTTCCTCCCGATACTGTATGGCTGTACGATTCCCATATACGACAATCAGACTCAGTTGTGACCAACCGTTGGCACAATTGCTCCCCTAACCTTTCCAAATCGGGTTCCTCACGAACACAACGCTGTGTGTCACATAACCTGTTTGGCGGACATCGACAAAGCGCAATATGAGGCGAGACAAAAAAGAAACATTCAGTTCCACAGCCTGTTGCACACCGGTACTCAAACTGTGTACAGCCCGTTCCTCGAGAAACTGCTGCAACCGGTTATTCAACATTAAGCCAAATCACGGCACGATCACGGCACTGATTTGCGAGTCGCTAACTTACTGAACTTGCAATTTCCATGCATTTTCCTGTTTGTGCTGAAGTCCTACGCATATCCGACCTCAGAGGTGATCACGTGACACGCAAGACATGATAGTTCTGTTCACTCAACCTTATCAAAAAAAATTCACGACGAAGGCCCCGTTCAAACAGTCTACATTCCATTGTCGAGTGTACTTATGACACAAGTAACTAAAATAAATTGTCTCGCTCACAGTTATGAACAATAATGCAGGTGTGAAGTTTCTATTTTTTTTGAGTATATGATAATTTTAAAATAACCATAGAAAACATTAAGATGAATTCAAGAGCAACACCAAGAAGTCTTACCTTCTGTACACCGGCCATGGCAGTATCACGTCTGAAACCGCAACAGAGGTGCGTCAAGCTTCTTATAATTATACAGCTGAATGCGGTAACCAGACACGCAATCTGGGGTGAATACAGTCCCTCGTAAAGCAGGAAGGAAGGAGCCACTCGGGCGTTCAACTACATCTGAGGTTACATCCCCTTTTGTGTGTTGCCTTTGACGTTGTCCATTTCAAATTAAAATTTTCATGAAGATCGTAACAAGACGATGCAGACTAGTGATATTCAATAGGGCTGGAGGCGGAAGGTCTTCACGAGTCGTCATATATTACTAACTCTTGTAAAAAGGGAGTCTATCTCACCCTTCTTGCAAGACTAGCCAGCGTTAAACGTTATGACGTTGACGCACACGTGTCCGTAAAATGTCCGAGAAACTCACGATTCAAGCAGGGAGAGCACTGGCCTGTTGTCCGAAAGACAAGACCTCGACCCCACGTCTTGCAAACGGAAGGACGAGGGTGTCCGTCTACTTGACCTAAGGTGCTGTCCTTAGTGGTTCCACTCTACATTAAATGATCCACCACGTAAGATTTCACGTCCCAGCCTGAAATTGTTTTGGCGTTGATGTCGACGTCGCCAGGCACGCCAACGCCAGACAAGGAAGGGAATCAGGGCTCAAAAAACAGGAAACTGTCACGATTACCCAAGTTCCGACCTTGTGTACACCATTATTGTCTGTTTGAACATGGCAATGTGTAAAGGGCGGCACAACACGTGTCCGTCGAGCATTGAGATGTGCTGCGTGTAGGCGATTGTAAATCGACTGAACTGTAACTCGCACTCCAGTTACCTAATGGAGAAGTTGAGAAATGTTAATGACTTTAACGCAACTTGATTATAATTTCAAATGTATATGTGGTAAAACGGTCGAAAATAGGCAATAAAGTTACATTTTTAACTGTGTCACCGATAATCATTGATTGATGTACGTCCTCCTCGTAAACAACAACACTTCCTCTCATAAACTACCGACTTGACATTAATGAGAGTGTTGCTGAAAGGTTCAAGAGCGAAGTCAACCCGGACAGCCTTCAATAGCGTTATCTTCATAGGATGTAAGAAATAGCACACACAGCCAGGGACACAGACAGAGAGGCAGACAGACACAGCCAGAGAGACAGACAGACACAGCCAGGGACACAGAGAGGCAGACACACACAGACAGGGACACGGCAAGAGAGGCAGACAGACACAGCCAGGGACACAGACAGAGAGGCAGACAGACACAGCCAGGGACACAGCCAGGGAGACAGCCAGACACAGCCAGGGATACAGCCACAGAGGCAGACAGACACAGCCAGGGACACAGCCAGAGAGGCAGACAGACACAGCCAGGGACACAGACAGAGAGACAAACAGACACAGACAGGGACACAGACAGAGAGACAGACACACACAGCCAGGGACACAGCCAGAGAGACAGCCAGACACAGCCAGGGATACAGCCACAGAGGCAGACAGACACAGCCAGGGACACAGCCAGAGAGGCAGACAGACACAGCCAGGGACACAGACAGAGAGACAGACAGACACAGCCAGGGACACAGACAGAGAGGTAGACAGACACAGACAGGGACACAGACAGAGAGGAAGACAGACACAGACAGGGACACAGACAGAGAGGTAGACAGACACAGACAGGGACACAGACAGAAAGGCAGACAGACACAGACAGGGACACAGCCAGAGAGGCAGACAGACACAGCCAGGGACACAGACAGAGAGACAGACAGACACAGCCAGGGACACAGACAGAGAGACAGACAGACACAGCCACGGACACAGACAGAGAGGCAGACAGACACAGCCAGGGACACAGACAGAGAGACGGACAGACGCAGCCAGGTACACAGACAGAGAGACAGACAGACACAGACAGAGAGGCAGACAGACACAGACAGGGACACCGACAGACACAGCCAGGGACACAGACAGAGAGGCAGACAGACACAGACATAGAGACAGCCAGACACAGCCAGGGTTTGCAAACAACTGCGTATGAATGTAAAACATTATTTTTTCAGCATGAGTGGCAAATCGTTCAGAGAAGATTTTCTCACTGAACTCTCCTGCATGTATACTATCTTAACAATTTCATGTAAATCAAGCTGTGTGTTAGTTACGCTTTGTGTGCTGCAGTCGCAAATTGTCAATATCAATGTAGTATTACATCTCCTATTGTTAATTCAGCTTGCGGGAGACGTAGAGTTAAATCCAGGGCCATTTTCACGTGCAGACTATGACAAATCACTCTCAATCTTCCATCTCAATGTGAGAAGTTTACGCCACAAACTAAAATACCTGTCTGAATATTTATCTGAATATGACATTATTTGCCTAACTGAAACCCATTTAGATTCCGATGTTGATACTGATACGCTCAAATGGGTGAATTTTCATGAACCCATACGGAAAGACAGAAATTGTTTCGGTGGTGGAGTTATCATGTATATTAATCACGCTCTCTGTTTTACGAGATTATGTCATCTTGAAAATCACTGTGATGAATCTATATGGGTTAAAGTATTTATCCCACAAAAGCCGCTTGTGTTATGTGTCACCTACAGACCACAATACCAAGGTTTAGAATTCTGGAGTCGGCTTGATAGTAGCATTGAGACTGCATTAGATATCTCGAGTAAAATTACCGTTGTTGGCGATCTAAATGCAAACCTTTTGTCCAATAATAACACGTATCTGCATGATTTAATAGCTAGAAAAAATCTGAATAATGTTATTAAAGACCCAACGAGAGTAACAAAAACAACGAGCACACTGCTTGATCCCATCATTATATCTGAAGATGTTGATGTTTTAGACAGTGGTGTTGTAGATTTATGTAAAAGTATAAGTGACCACAAAGGTACGTATATCACCGTTAATGCTCATGTAAATACCAGGTTAGCCTACAAAAGAAACGTATTATGTTATGAAAGAGGTGACTATGACAAACTCAATGCTATGATTAATGAGACAAATTGGTATAACATTTTTAGTAGTTGCAGGAATGTTAATGAAGCCTGTGCACTGTTTTATAAGCATCTCAACCGTTTTATATTTGTGTGTATTCCTTCTAGAACGGTCACCATTCGACCAACTGATAAACCTTGGTTTAATTCAGAACTTCGGAGAGAATGTAGAAAAAGAAATAGAATGAGAAAAAAAAGGCCCAAAAGACAAACCGTCTAGTAGATATTTTGGTTTATAAGAAACAAAGAAATAAAGTAAATAATATGAAATGTTATGCAAAGGATTCATTTTATGCCAGTCTCACAAACGATTTTTTACTTGATCTGTATTCTAGTAATAAAAATTCCTATTGGAAATTACTTCGGTTTTTGATTAATGATTCAGGATCAGTCACTTGCATTCCGTCTTTAAGACAAAATGATGCAGATGAAAACCCAACGTTATTTACTGATATGCAGAAAGCAGAGAAACTTAATCAGTATTTTCAGTCTATATCTAGTATTGATGAAGAAAACACAGATATGCCATTCTTTGACAAACGCACTGATTCTGTTTTAGATAGTGTAACAATTGATGTAAATGAAGTGTCCGATATAATCAAATGTTTACATCTTAAAAAAGCTTCTGGCCCGGACAGAATCAGTCATAAGTTTCTTAAAAATGTTGTACATTCAATAAGTATCCCACTGTGCATGTTATTTAATCAGTCATTAAAAAGTAGTATATATCCAAGTGTGTGGAAAGAAGCAAATGTAATGCCCCTATTTAAAAAAGGGTGATCCCTCAATGGCCTCTAACTATCGGCCTATATCCTTGATCAGTTGTGTGGGCAAGGTGTTTGAGAGAGTGATGTTTAAACGTCTGTACAACTATTTTCATGCAAATCGATTATTGTATAAGTATCAATCAGGTTTTCAGTCTGGTCACTCAACTGTCCATCAATTAATTGAAATATATGACCAAATCTGTGCGGCTTTAGATGATAAAAAACACTATTGTATGGTTTTCTGTGATGTCTCTAAAGCTTTTGATCGTGTGTGGCATAAAGGTTTATTGTTGAAATTAGAAAAATACGGAATTCATGGTTCATTGTTAAATTGGCTAGCAGATTACATAAGTAATCGTTCACAAAGCGTCTTTCTGAATGGAGCCCTATCCAAGCCGGGGTATTTACAAGCTGGTGTCCCTCAAGGGTCAGTCCTCGGTCCTTTCTTATTTCTTGTTTATGTCAATGATATTGCTGATGATTTAAACTGCTTGACACGATTATTTGCTGATGATTCGTCTCTTGGGTCATCTTCTCATGATCGTCTATTCATTGAAAGAGATTTGAATTCAAACTTGGAAAGGCTGCGGGCTTGGGCAAAGCGGTGGCTTATAACATACAATCCTGATAAAACTGAGGCAATCTTTTTCTCCTTGCAAAAGAATGTTGATGCACTAAATCTGTACTTTAACGGGGTTTGTGTCAAAACAGTTAATAATCATAAACATTTGGGATTAACATTTTCAAAAGATTGTAAATGGTCTGACCATATTGATAATATTGTAAAAATAACTTCAAAATGATATCTTCTCTACGTAAACTCAAATTTTTATTACCACGCTCTGTATTGAATAGAATTTACGTAATGTTCATAAGACCCCATTTTGAATATGCGTGTGAAGTATGGGATGGATGTGCTAAATATCAAGCAAATAAATTAGAACAACTGCAATTAGAAGCAGCAAGAATTGTTACAGGTTTACCTAAATATACTCATCATGAACATCTGTATTATGAAACTGGTTGGGAATCTTTAGCAGAACGTAGGAGAAAGCGTAAACTTCGCCTTTTTTACAAAATACAGAATAATATGGCACCATCGTACCTTATTGATCTTGTTCCTGGGGACGTAGCATCTAAATGTAGCTATAATCTTCGCAACTCTGATGATATCTCACTTCCTTTCTCATGATTAAAATTTTCCCATGATTCTTATTTTTTCATCCACAATTAGAATGTGGAATGAACTTCCAGTTGAAGTGAGAAAAAGCGAGTCATTGAATTCTTTTTATATCGAATATTGTTATAAAACATAAAAACTGCTCCTCAATACTTTGATTCTGGACCGAGAATCACTAACATCATCCTTACAAAACTAC